AGATGCTGCAAGAAGCACATACAGGCTCATCTGGACACACCCTACATCTGCATTACTGTGCACTGAAAAACTCTACTGTAGAATATTACTTGTATTTACAAGTACTAATCTGCGGCACAGTTTATTAGTTTACAGAGGCCTAATAGGGTCACATGTGTAGTTGCTGAAACATTTACTGAGGAGCTAATCAGGCATCTCCATAGTAAATATCTCATATAGACACAACCAATAAAAGCTGATTGCACACGGTCCAAAATATTTAGTGATGAACAAGAAGAACTAGACCACAAGGTAGAATGTTACAAATCAATAAGAATAGTGCTTTTTATCATAGTCCCAATGGACTTTGGACTTGTTAAAATCTCACAGTGCTCCGAATAGATCAAATACCTGTTTTACAGATTAGTAAACTGAAGTGCTGGGAAGCACCATCTAATGAAGGACCTTGATACTTTTAATCATGTGCATACGTGGAGGGAGAAAAATTTGGGGGTGAGGGCTGAGCACAGGCAAGTATATGTGCACATGCCCCCCCAGTAGGAACGTCTGTGTGGGGAGGGGCGGAGGAAGAGGGAGAGAGAATGGGAATGGGAATGGGAATGGGGATGGGAATGGGGCTGGCCAGGGATCAGGAGGGAGCAGAGCCAAGCCAGGCCTGGGATCAGGGCCACCCCTTCCTCCAGGCCTAGGATCACTGGTGCCAACAAACCTGCCACCCCCCAGCCCCCAGGTGCCCAGAGCTGGGGGACCAGAGCAGAGCCTGCCTCAGCTGCTCCACCAGGCCAGAAGAGACGGAGCCCCTGGGACACCCACAGCTGCCCCGCCAGACCCTGCACAGCCAGGACAGGGTGAGGTGCAGGATGGAGCTGTGGCCCATCCGGGAGGTGCAGGGAGCGGGTCGCAGCTCCCTCATGTATATCAGTGAAATTCTGTCCTCAAATTCCATGCCGTCTCAAAGGACTTCAGTAGAGTGACAAAGATACAATTAAGGACAGATTTTTGCCCACCAGATTGACTTTGCTAAATTAATTAAATCCTTTTTCCAATTATGTATTTGTTTATTGATATGTTACAAATGGATTACAAGTATCTTGTTAGGACACATCTAGAGCCTAAGGTAAATTTGAAACCTTATGGTTAGTTTAGGGAAAGTTACCACCGTATAGCATGATATTTTACTCCTATGAGTGCAGGAGGAGTGTGCGTGTCAATTGTCAAACATTCACTATCATCAAATCATATATGATTCATGACTATTTCAAATTTCCAGAAATTAGTTTCCTTTTGTGCTTGTAATTTTTTTAAGTGGGTTCACTCTGAGCATGCAAATGATTGTGACATGCAGTAAAACTTCAGTAAAATAGCAACAGATAAAGCTACTTTCTAGTTTCCTTTTCAGCCCTTATTAGAGTCAGAGGGAGATATAGTGAAAAAGAGCATCTTACTTTTCTCTTACCTTGTTTTCTCCCCCACCAGAGTCCAACCGAGAGGCCATAACTTCAGCAGGAGGTGTCATACCTTTACTGGCACTGGCCAACTCCTATGATCCTAGGGTCCAACAAAATGCAGTTGGAGCTATTCTTAACCTCACACAATCAGGTACTTTCAAGTTAATGGTTCATCTATAAAGTGCTTACCTAAAAAAAATGTCTGACACCACAGCTGCACGCACACTGGCAACCAAAAGCTGCCGTGTGTCATAGCTGCCCCAATTCCCGCACATGCCTCTCGCAGAATCTCAAAGGGGTTTGAGATGCTGCAAGAAGCACATGCAGGCTCGTCTGGACACCTTACTGCCTGCATTGTTACACTTCTGATAGCATGCCTTGATTTTTCAAATTCAGTTAAGCTACATTGCAACCTATCAAATCACCACTCAGGAGACTGACAGAATTTTCAGATATTAGTTTTTCTCCTTTTGTGTTGATGGATTTTTGAATAGATTCACTCTTTAAAATAGACTGGATGCATCTACATGTGCATTAGATCCAGGAGCAGTTTACTAGGGAGGCAGGCATCTACACATGCAGGGAAGTGGGGGCAGATTTGTTATTAATGGCAGCAAACTGCTCCTGATTCCTGGGGCCCTGCATTGGGCCCCTGCCATCACCAAAGGGAGCTCTAGGCTCCACCTCAGTATTAGCCCAGGGGCTGGCAGGGAGCACTGGACCAGGAGATGGCTGTCTCCTGGCCAGGGTTGGGACATTGCTCCCTGCCCCTGGGGGCTGCCCACTGCTGGGGAGGGGACCATGTCCCCCTGCCCCAGTAGCAGGAAGCCCTGGCTCCTCAATCAAGGCAGGAGGCATAGAAAGAGCTGAGGGGGAGGGGCAGGTGCCAGCCTCCTGCCCTGATCTGCCAATGGGGCAGTTAGCAGCGAGCCCCCAGCTGGGTGGGGATTCCCTGCCCATCTGGGAGCTTGCTACTAGTTGCCCCACTGGCAGATGGTGCAGGGGGCTGGGACCTGCCCCACCCATGCAGCTCTTTCCAAGCCCTGTGTCTTGATTGTCCAACTGGGGCACAGGCCTGGGACCTACAGCTGACCGGGACAGTTCCCAGCCCCCGCTCCATGCTTGTGAGGTGGGGGCTGGAGAGGCTGTTCCCACCCAGCTTCATGATTAACAAGCTGGGCAGGGAACAGGGTCCCCAGCCACCACCACCAGGGATCTCCCAGTGCCAGCTCCATGGTTGTGGAACCAGTGCTGAGAGATCCTTATCTCCCAGCGCCAGCTCTGAGTTGTAGGGCCAGCGCTGGAAGATCCTTATCTCCCAGCGCCAACCCCGTGACCATGGAGCTGGCACTGGAGGATAAGGATCTCCCAGCCCCTGCTCCCCGACTGCAATCTGAGTGGGGGCTTGGAGCTCCCTGCTGCCAGGCCAGGGGGACATAATCCTCACCTGGGCTCTGGTGGTGGAGCCCACCCCTGCAGCAGGCAGCTCCCAGGGGCAGAGAGTAATCTCCTGCCCTCTGCTAGCTGGATGACCAGAAGCAGATTTGCTCCCAGTCAGGAGTTTACTTGAGTGCTACCATGCAGTAACTCGTCATAAGTAAATTTGCTACTTGCATTAGCAGGTAGCAAATTTACTTGCGATTAATGAAGTTTGTTGTGCAGTAAACGTGTACAAGTGTAGACGTGCATGCTTACTGAGCATGAGCAGTAAACTATGCTACTGCACAGTGAAGCTTCTCATGTAGACACACCCACAGTGACCTAACAAGGGCAACCTCTGCTACAACTTTTACTCACTGTCTTAGGACACCTATACCTATACAGTGAGGCTGCTCTGACACGCTGTAATTACCATACATTTAATCAAGTCTGCTGGAGCATGGTAATTACCTTACTCCAGCATCACATGTATCAGCATCCCCACGCTGAAAAACTGGTGGCGGAGGCGCTTTAACTAAAGCTCATTTGAGTGTCCCTGCAGCCATTTTTCAGTGTGGAGACGCTCCAGAGGCTCTAAGTAGAGTGTCTCCCCAACACTCCCAAAGCATGTGTATAAACACTCTTCTATTCCAAACCTGGTGCTGCAGGATATAAATAAGGGCAAATATTATGGACATGACTGTGCCATCTCTGTACTGACCCTGGGAATCATGCACCGCCAACACGCCCCTGTTCAGTGCACACCAAACTCTGAAATGAGGCCATGTCACTGTTTGAGACTGTTCCTCTGATTCAGGTGTGCTCACTGGTATCTGCTTTATGGTGGCTGCATTGTGCCTTTTCCAGGGTTTGGTACACACAAATTGGGTCCACTCTTAGGCATGGCACAGAGGTAGTGTAGACAAGCTCAATAGGTTTGATTCAAGCTTAATGGATTATTGCCATGGACTTCACTGGGAGCAGGATTTGGCATCTGTAATAGTATGTCACGTTATTTTTCATTAATTCTGATAAGAAAACGTAGAAAAACATTATGTTGTAGAAATAAATCCTATTTGTCAGGACAGTACTGTCAGGGCTGCTCTGTCCCTTTGTGTACTGTGGGAGAGTGAGACTGCTACTGTTGTACAGAGTCCAGATTTATTTATTTTTTAAGGTGGGATTTTAAAGCTGTAGACAGCAGACAGCTGTGAACCTTCCCTTTGCTTGGCACTTCTTGAGCATTTTTAATCTGGCATTATGACTAAAATGGTTCTATACTGCCATTCTTCATGAGGGATCCTTCAGCTTCTGAGCAGACTTTATCTTCTATGGAGTGTCAGTCTCAAGTCATTCCTACTGCTGCATGTGTCTGGATGAATCTAAATTACTGAGTGGTCATCAGCTGTCCATATCCATTTTACTTCAAAAAGTTTCTGTCCTGGTATATCTATGTGATTTTATGTTGGGGGAGAAGGCAATTTATCCACTGGGTTCTTTCCTCCCCAACACTGAAATGTGTCCTCTTTTTTTTGCCTTGCAGAATGGATCCAACAAGTCCTGTGCAGGGAGGGAGCCCTCCCAGTTCTTACCTTGCTGTTAGAGTCTCCTGACACAGAAGTGCAGGTAGAGCTAAAGCAAACTGCAGCTTTTAAGTAATAAAAGCAAAGTATGCCATTCTTGATATTGCATAATTTTTAGAATTCAGAAATAAAATATAATGACTAGAGATTTATCCAGGCAGGGATGGATAGAAAAAATAAGGGACATAAGACCTTTTGTTTTGTTTTGTTTTTAATTTAGTGAACCAAGAGGAGCTGTTATCATAATGAATCTGGTTGTGTGAAATACGCCCAATGTGGTGAACAGATGTTCAGCTCTGATAGGATAATGCATGTGCTTATGTGCACACAGAGATGCTGTGAAGTTACCTTTCTACTGTCTAGGGCAAACTGAATGGCTTCTGTGTTCTTGAATTACCCTTTGCACCAGAAGAAGCTATTCATTATTGCTGTTGTTACACATTTTATACATGGTGATGATAATAATATTATAATTATTTAAATCATTTGTTGTGTTACAGTCACACCTATGAACTTCTGTTTTAGACCAGGTCCCGCTATGCTATCAACTGTCCAAAACAGACTCTTTCCCCAAAATTAACATCCAACAGGGGTGTATCCAAAGGGAATGTGGTGGCAGAGTCACTCCCCCCTTTTCTCACACACCACATTTTCAGAGAGGTTTCTGATCTGACTGGCATCTCAGTACAGCTTCTGCCAGAGCTCCACTTGTGCCATGAACTCTGAGCTCACCAGCAGTTCAGTGCAGGGTCTAACCACATCCCCCAATTTCACTCAGCTTCAGAGCCCAGGGCATGAGCACTGCATCTGTTTGTCTTCCATTGCCACCCTCCCCTGCTGAATTCAGCAGCAAGGGAAAAGAGGATAAGCAATACTGGTGCCCATGATCATATATAACCCTTTTGTGATTATGCACATATACACACAGTTACACCCTTCTCTACAGGAAATAATCTGGTGAAAAAACAACAATAAGAATAGACACAATAGATAGCACTGGGTTGCTCATCCAGTTTGTCTACTAGCCAACACAAGACTGTCTCTCAGGGTATGTTTTCTAGTTTTTTTGTCCAGTCTTATGTGCCATATGGTGGATATCACAACTACCTTTCACAAACTATTTCAGTCTTCCAAGCTTTCCTAAATACTCATGTTAAAATACCCTCACTATTTCAGCTCATTACGTGTAATTACATCTCCAGGTATCTCATGTAATCTGTCCTAGTCTTTGCAGCCTTCAAATATTTGCAAGTAGTTACCATATATGCTGTTCCCTGTAGTAATGTGTGAACACACAGGGACAAGAGGGAATGTCTACCTTGCAGGATTCAGTGTAGTATAATGATATCTGAGTAAGTTTTAAATGAGTTAGCGGTTGACCTGAAGTGACCAGAGCTCAGTGTGGGCTTATTTACTCTGTGTTGATCTCTGTGCTGCTGCAGGTGGAATAGCTAGCTCGAGTTTCTCTGTGCCAAGTCACAGTCACTTCTGTGCCTGCAGTACAGATATAACCTCAGTTTATCTTCCTTCCCAGTCTATAAGGTATGACCCATTCAAGCTTACCTCCTCAGAACTTGCTCTGAAATGTAACCAGGTTTTTAGTATGTCTTCCCAAGCTACGTTGATGTAGACATACCTAAAGTAGCTTTCATTTAGCCATCACAGCTACCAGTAGCAGCATAGCTGCAACAGCAGAGACTTCAGAGTGGTGAACCAACTGAACAAGTAGGTTGGCATAGCCTAGAAGGGTTAAATCTATAAAGCCTTCTACAGAGATGGTGTGTGAGAGCAGGCTGCATCTGCACAGAAGAAACAGCTGTTGGAACTCTAATCCTTTCTCTGTTTCTTCAGTATTACAGTTGTACTGCTCTAAGCAACCTGGCAGCCAACTCCCATCACCATGAAGCGATGCTGAGAACTGGTGAAGGGTTCCTTCTGCGGACACTCATTTCTCTCTTGTCTTCATCTGTGGAAAAGGTAAAGAAGAGAATATGGGGCGAGGTGTATACTTGCAACAACAGTAGCAAGCTATGTCCTGATGCTCCCTTAATTGTGTATGTTACACCATAGCTTATTCACAATGAGTGTAACTAGATTGACCAGGCTTTATAGTGTAAAGCAAAAATAGAAGAGACTCCCCAAATGCAGTATAGATTGCTTGGTATTCAGGTTGTAGCTATATTGGTCTAGAGGAAAAAGCAATCAGGACTCATAGCAGAGATGATATCTTTTATTAGACCAACAAGATTTTTGCAAAAAAAAAAAAAAAAATTTAATTGATTTAATTTCTTTAATAGACCAAGGAGTGGTGTGCCAAGCAATTAAAGATTTTTTTTTGTAAAAATCTTGTTGGGCTGATAAAAGATATCATCTCAACTATGAGTCCTGATTGTATAGATTGCTTAGCACACCTTCCTGGTCCAAACAGTGGGATGTGAAAAATGTTTCTGAAAATAGATTTTATTTATTGGTTTTACTTTCAAAATGAAAACACAAATGGGGCTCAGCTGTAGGAGTGCTCAAGTGCACTCACATCCAGAGACCTGGACAGATTCATTCCAAGAACTGCAGGCCACTTATGAAGCTGAGTATGCCGTATGTGTTGTGTGTTCATATCTAGGATTTTGGTTCAGGCTTCTCTGTAGATAAGGCATTTATTAGTGTAGTTGTAAAGCTCATGTAATTAATCTTGTTCTGACAAGCCTGTGCAGCATTCTCTCTGTGTTAGCAAATTCCACATCTGTTGGATGCTAGGTAGGTAAACTATGGATATAAGGCAAACTCTGGGTATATTTATACTAATGCCAGGGGCTACTCCCACTATTTGGCTCTGACCTACTGGTCATCCAGTTTTAAAAAAACTATTTAGTTTGGTCCTGGCAACAGTTTAGCACACTCCTAAAGCTCTCCTGAGAATTGAGGCTCAAGACTGAGCTTCCTCTGTATCATTTTACCCCCTCATGCAAAACATTGCTGAAGTATGTACAGTGTCTGTGATGGCCTTTCTGTGCTGTACTTTGTCTCCACTGCTCTAACTGGAGCCAGCATAGAGGTATAGACAACTAGTTGGCTTAATTTCCAAAACCACTTCATGCACATTTCTTGTTCCTGTTGTAGGAATCAGGCTGTACTCTACTTTTCTCTCTTTGTCTGCTTCCTGCATGCTTACAAAGCAGAGCAACATAGACAGGAGGGAGTGGCCCATGTAGTTCAACTTGCCCCAAAATAAATCATTTGAGAGAACAGAGATCATTAATGTGCCCCAGATTCTTCTTCACTTCCTTGAAAATGTGGAAGCCTATAGATAGGTTTAGCCCCGACTTATGTTAAAAACATCTATGTATGTGATGCCTCCTATTGTCCCAATATCTTTAAGACCAGGGCATGCAACAGCACAAGCTGTTGCAGAAAGTCTCCAGTAGTTTATATTTGTTTTCACTTCCATGCTTCATGTGGGGGACAATGCAGGGAGAACATCTAGAAAATATGCCTGAAGTAGAAACAGTGTTATAGGGAAGCAGCAGTGAGCAAAGTGTAATGGAAACCTGAGGAATATAGGATCCCACAGGATCCATGGTGAAGTAGGGAATCCTGAAGGATCCATCCTGAAAGAGGGATTTTCTACTTTCAGCCTAGAGAGAGAAATATTAACACAGAAACGATGCATATTAAATTTCGGTGCTGCTATCATCCACCGTCCTCTGAATGGATATTTTTTTAGGTGACCATGAAGCTGTAAGGGTGCCTGTAGACATCCTGGGAGGCTGCTCCAGTGCACTGTAATTACAGCATGTTGGAGCAGGCTCAATTAACCGAGTCTGCTGGAGCATGGTAATTACTACGCTCCAGCAGCCTCCCATGCACGAGTGACTGGGTCCTCCTGAATCAGGAGGTTCACCCGCAGAAGCCACTGACCCTATCAGGGGGAGCACCAGCCCTACTGACAGCATCGGTGTCAGCCATTGGGGAGGCACCGGCCCCATCAGGGGGAGTATGTGCACCCCCATGCACCCCCTACCAGTCACCTATGCTCCAGCGTCTCATATATCATTGTCCCCATGCTTCAAAATGGGGGGGGAGGGGGCACTTGAAATAAAGTTTGTTCAAGCACCCCTGCCACCATTTTGAAGTGTGGGGACACTGATACACAAGATGCTGTGGCGTTTTAATTAGAGTGGCTCTTGGGGCCGCTCTAATTAAAGGACCCCCTACCCCCATCTCCAGAGCACATGTAAAAGTGACCTAAGGGGTTGGTCCTGCCCCTGCCAATTTCAATTGTGCAGAAAAAGAACACAGGACAGTAAAAGCTTGTGAAAATGAGCATGCTATCACCAATTTTCCTTTCAACAGGTAACTTGGCAAGAAAGTGCCTTTTTCCTTTAGATACCCCTAGATGATAATGGTCAACTCACCCTCTCCTCGCTGATCCCAAGTGCTCTTTCTCCCAGGGTGCTTTTATGCGCTTTAGTGTACATTAACCTACTTTAATGAACATTAAAGCATCACTTTAAAAATGCAGTTTTTTTCTTAATGTACATTAAATAGGTGAATGCACATTAAGCATCACTTTAAAAGCATGCTTTTTAGTTAATGCACATTAAGACAGGCCAATGTGCATTTTCCTAGTACCTCACCATGGAGGTACTAGATTTCATAGTACTAGATTTAATGCATATTAACTAAAGCCTGTTAATGCACATGTAGACGCACCTCCAGATGTCAAACAAAATGAAGACCAATGGCAATAATATAAATTGAAATAACTAGAAAGCCTTCAAATAATCAAAAAATCTATGCAAGGCCTTGATGTCATTTTCATGTCTCTAATATTGCTCACATAATCTTTACATGAGTGGTACTTCTCAGATTTTATCTATAGGGCACTGAAATAGGTTGCAGAAAGCATATGAGGAGTGTAGGGGAATTAGTCAGTCTTGTCCTTGACATTAGCATTGTGGAGGAATTACACCCCAGTCTGCCTCACTGTGGTAAGCAGACAGCCCAAACGCCCCATGTGTTACCTGCCTGCATGACTAGATGGGCTCTAAAAATCCCAAAGGGAGGTGTAACCTGCTCCTCTATTGTCCTGGGTTCATGCTTCTGCAGGTCATGCGACTAGTTATCTCACCTGGTCAAGCTGATGTTATTTGGAAGCACTGGTCAGCAGCCAATGGGGCTGCTTCTGGTGGGAACTTAGTGATGAAGTCACAATAGGTGTATAAGAGTCCGACCATGAGAAAGGGGGGCAGACATGTTTTGGGACACAGCAAACAAGCCATCCAGCCTCCAGAGAAAGAGCTCAGTCAGACTCTGGATGTAAATGTGAGTAACATGTGGATTTTAGCTAGTAACTTAGGATGATTTGATCTAGAAGTGTACCAAAAGGCTACCAAGCTGCTTCTGTTTGCTCAAGGTTCTTTCTTTTCATACATCACTGACCTGTACCCCTCCCCATGCCTACCCTCTCCAATCAATAAAGCTATCTGTTATAGCAAGCCTTGCTGTACCTGCTTGAGAGGGATTAGGTAAGCCTCTTAGCTCCCTTGCTTATCTGACTAAGGGAGGCTACTGTTAATGCTTCAGGCTGTATGAAGCACCCAGATATATCCTACTGGGGTTAAGCAACCCCAAGCTCTACAGGGTCTGTATAGCCCAAGCAGCATTGAGTCCTAACAGAGACTGGAGCTCGGGTGGTGGCAACGGTTACCCCAGGCTTGTGGGTGTACTCCAGGAAGGGGGTTTGCCAGAAGTTGGTGCCCTTGGGGAGGTATCTGAAGCTTGGTTTTGGTTGGGTGCAGTAAGGTGGGTGGCTCAACACTTGAGAGCCCCGTACTGGCCCACCACAAGCATTACCTTCTATCCCATCTTCCCTTTGACATCTATACCAGCTTGGCTACCACAGTTTTAGTTATTACTAATGAAATTGGTGAAAACAGAAATCTACTTCTCAGAGCAAAATAATGTCCATTTCCTTCAGGGGAAAGCAAAGCAAAAGCACAGAAAATGAAATATGTCAGTTCATTTTGGTGCTGTTCTTTTGAAAAATCTGATGTAAACAAACATTAAGAATGAAATGTTAGCTTCTTGCCAGCTTGCCAAAATACACTGGGGTTCTCTAACCTACTCAGAAATAATTGACTATAAAGCAAAAATAGTTCATGAAAGATGTTTTGAATTTGAGTTTGAATATAAACATTTTGAAAATGTGACATTTTTACTAAATGTGAAAAATATTTCAAATCAGAAGATATTCTGGAACATTTACATTTTGGAAAAAAAAATTAAAACTCCCTTTGAACATTTCAAAATTTAATTTAGAATTTTACCTTATAGATTTTGTTTCATTCTTATCTTATCTTTACATTGTTTAACAACATGTACTACTAAATACTACTGATATGTCACAATAGTAATATAACCTAAACAGGAGACACCTGAGGTACAGACATAAGTTACATTTGCCATGCTATCGGCCCTCTGAAAGTGCTCTAGAGCCATGCTGTGACACACAAGCATGGCTGCAGAGCACTTTAAAGGTGGCCAGTTGCATGACATATTAACCCTCTTCAAATGAGGAATCAGATGAAGGTGTTCCACTTTGGAATGCCTTAGGGAACTTCTGTTCCCTAGAATTAATTTGTGGTGTGATCAAGGCTGGGCTGATGTAGCCCAGTCCTGCCCTCAGTACTATCTGCAGAAAGGGAGAGGGGAGTGAAGTGCAGGCTGGGGTTTGCCAGGCCTGAGCTGGGGGTGTGTGGATTGAAGTCCCCTTGCTTCATGATTCCTCCAAGGTGTTCCCCTCCCACTCCAGCTCAGGTCAGGCAAACTCCAGCCTGCAACTCACTCCCTTCCCTTCTCCCCCCGCCTTTTTCTGCAGACAGCGCTGGAGCTGGGGGGAGGCAGGGCCTGAGCTAGGGGAGATGGGTAGCTACTCCATTGCAAGCAGGCTTAGTTCCAGTGTGACTCAACAGGCATATGTCTGTTTGGATGGGGCGAGTATCTAACTAATGGTGCTTTATATAAAGCACTGAGTTAGAGCAGGGGCCTGCATGTCTGTCAGCACCCTTGGAAACCCCTTTTCTTCTTTTCTCGGCAAACCAGTATGAAGTAGCAGCTGCCCTTAGTGATTTGAAAAGTAAAATGAAAACAGTGTTTCATTAGTTATAGCAGGTCATATTATGACCTCAGACAATGTGCTATTTCTTCTGACATCCTGAAATTATATAAAGTTGATATAAAAATGGAAAATGCCATAAAATAACGTTCAAAAACCAAAAAAATCAAAATAATTTTACAATCTGAATCAAAATTTCAGATTAAGGTTTCAAAATTACATTGTTCCAGAAATGATAATTTTCAGTATATAAAAATACTTGACTATATTCCAAATTAGAAGCAAAACTGCTTTCAGAACATCAGGGGTTTCTATAAAACATAAATTCCAAGTTTCAGCCAGCTCTGATTAGCATGGATTAACCAGGTGTATGTGCTGGTGAAAATTGAACTAATGCCTCTATATGCTGGATTTATCTAACAGATTTTGAAAAAAGCCAAATAAACTCTGAATAAATCCTTTGAAGGCAATTTTGTAGTCTACTAATGCTTCAGATTTATTTACATTACTTTAGCTGACCTATCTGGTTGCTGAAATATTCACTCTCTTCACTTTTTTTTTTAATTGTCAATATTCAGGTTTCAAGCCAGGCTTGTGTGTGTTTGAGAAATTTGGCTGTAAGTGGTAAGTAATGTCTTCAGAGGCAGGGATGAAATCCTCTCTCAATTTCCTTTTCTTTTTTCAGACCAGACATCAGACTTGAGGAAGTTCTCCTTGTTATGAGCCAAGTTATGGCTTCCCCTACTAGGTGTACTTGGGAGTCCATATGCAACATGCCTCCGCTGGAAAGAACAGGCTGCAGGCCTGTGTATGTGTTGGGGAGGTGTGTTCTAGTTAACCCTGCTTTCAGTGCTCCCTTCCCCAGAGGGGAAATGTCTTCAGAAGAATGTGAATGGAGAAATGCCCCAATTCTTCCTGAGTATTAGCAAGTTTAACAAGCACACTCCTAGTGATGACGACTCCAGTGCCCAGAAAGTACTGAGGCAGAGACAGAAGTCCTCCAAGACTGCTGGTTGGGTGGAGCATCACCTCCGACTCCTGGGAATGGCTTTGTCTTAGGAAACTTAGCTTGCCCAAAGCATTTACCTGTCAAGCCCCATGTAAATGTGCAAGATATGTTTCTACAGTATAGGCTGGCAACAGAAGAAGGAGAAGCCTCACAATGGTATAAAAAATGTGCACAACCGCCAGCCTGTTTGTTGAAAAAGTCTACACAGGCTTCTTCACTTACAGAGTAAACAAACTAAGATCTCATGAGAGACAGGAGCAGAGGAGCCCTTTCCCCTTTGCTTGTCCAAAAAAAGTAGTATGTTTTACGGCTTCTGTAAAAGCTTTGACTCCATCTGCTGGCTGTTTGAGGAAATTATTCCTGCTAGAAAAGTACTAATGTAATATAGTGTTGGAATGATATTCCGTGATGATCCAGGAAATGTGAAGGGCAAGGATTGTTGAGATGATATCTTTTACTGGATCAACTGAACAGAAACATTTGGATGCCTATTTTGCTGGGATCCTTTGATCCTAGCTGACTTCCTGCCGCTTAGGCAGGGGGCTGGACCCAACAATCTTGAGAGGTCCCTTCCAGCCCCAATGTTTATGAAATCTATGAAACTGTATGATTGGAATAGACTTAGGCAAGTTTTTAAATGCAACTTTTGAATATATTGCATTTGAAAACTTAGGTCTTAGTGTATCCCAACCATGGAACTGGTCCAATAAAATATATCACCCACAATAATCCTTACCTCTCTAAGTTAATATAGATACACTAGTTACGATGACTGAGGTATAAAAATATAAACAGAATAGAGCTTTCTGCAATGCTTGACATCTCTTTCTATCTATCTTTCCCTTCGCATGACAAGGCCATTTAGAGGGCCAGGTAGATATGCACCTTTGTAAACTAACTAAATAAAATATGTATAGAGAGAGAGATACACAGAGAGAAAGCGCACAAGCTTTTGTGAACCCAAGTTCACTTTGTCAGATCTTGTGAAAGGACAGCATAGAGCAGAGTATATAGTGGAGTAAGAAATTAGAATACAAACAGGTAGGAACATGGGAGTGCGGGGGGGAAAGTGCTGTGAGAGGCAACAAGCAAAGGGCCCATAGAAACAAGATTGTTGGCTAGTGAAGAATGCACTGGTCCTTCATCCTAAAGAAAATAGCCAGAAAGTTGCTGTATTTCTTTGATGACGTTTCCACAGCCTGTAATTTGTGGTGCTTCTCTCTGGGCTTTTCATGATGAATTGCATGTAAGGGCATATCTACACATTGCCCTATGGCGATGTTGTTACTGCACCATGCTTTAGTACTTCCTTTTGGAAGTACTAAAGCACGGTGCAATAACCACCCATAT